AAAATATCGATCTCAAACTTCTTACTTATTCTGTGTGAGTTTAGCATTGGTTACACTTACATCAGAAATACCATAATTCTTATCCGGTACTGGGGATACTGGGTACAGTAAATTTATGAACAGGGGTGGTGGGCCAAAAAAATATCAATCCAACCTAACCCCAATCGTATTTTTGAGCTATGAAACAAGCGCTGATCTCAGTTTTCTCTGTTCCCCTTCCCTGATTTACCGAGTAAGGTAGCCGGATATGATTGTGTATAGTCGTCCAATTATTGAGTGAGGAATACGGTTGCTAAACAACTCCTTGTGATCACAGAAGTAACAACAACTCTGTTCTGCGTGATTCCGGTGTCGATCCCTGACCTACACTGAACTGTTACAACAATTGTTTCATTTTTTGCTTCCGTGCGAGGTGACTGCACACGTGACTGTGTATGTGTGTGCATTTAATCAATAACAATTCCAGAGTCTTTATTTGGAATTTTGATTACACTGTACTGTCTAAATTAACGTGAAATAGTACGCATTTGACCAAATTTCATTTGATCCCCGAGGTTTTTCTTCTTCTGTGGTTTACGAATTGAATATGTTCAGAATGGTCAGATGCCATCACGTGGATTTTGAGGATAAGCAAGCCACATTAGATCTGGAGGTATCTCACATATATCATCTGCGTGAGCAGAGTGAAAATATCCGAAATTGCTGTATGACTTGATAGCTAAGTTGCTCGAGCGCATGTGGTGTCTTTGACCGAGTTCGAATCCCATGCGTGACGAACAATATTACTTGTTTGCATTTGCGAATGATCAACCAACATTGGGAATTAATTTTTCAGCAGAATCCTCATGCTAACCAGTCAACTGTATAGTCCAGAAGCACCAGACTCATGCCCGTTGCTTGTTGCTGCCTACCAGTAGGGTACACATGCGTCAGTTCATGCGAGATTTGAGATCCAAACTCTCGGTATGCGTGTTATCGACCTACCAGCCCCACTCCCCCCAGCGGAGAGGGGAAGGGTGCTTTCTGGAATCAGGATTGTGCGTGAATATATCTGGACGGTGGTCGGGAAAACTTGACAATGCTTATCTGAAATCAACCACTCTGTACAAATAGCTGTGAGTTAAATGTAAGTAAAACTGCTCATTCATCACAATTCTCTCCAATCAGCATCTTCTGCGGTTGTGGGAAGTTTTATTCTGTTTTTGAGTGCTTATCTGTATCATCCGCTTATTCCAAAGTAAGAATTCACCCTCTCTGTCACTCACCTTATACTTCTTTAAATTAGCTTTATTATAATTTTTTGTTGAGATCGTGAAAAGTTCATTAGGCTCGGTGGGACTGGAACCCACACATGGACGCCGTCTACGCTTCTGTACAGTTCACGCTTTACCAGCTGAGCTGCGAGGTCACCCCGATACCAACACTGATCTTTTCACATTCGAATCACCCATCCAACATGCGGGGGTTCGAATCCTACTGAGGCTACTGAACTTTTCACAATTTCAGCATAAGGATTAAGTGTGTGGATTATTTTGTAGTTTTTTTAGTAACAACAATTTACCACAAAATAATAGTTCGCATCAGGTGGTGACACATTTAAAGACGATCGCAGTACAGATATCTGATTGGCTGATTAAATCTCAGTTTATAACGATGACAGAGGTGAGCAAACGGAGAAAGCAAATGTAATGAGGTTAGCAATAGTCAATGCTAGTAGAGTCGTAGATGGGGTCAGAGGACAAAGGTCAAATGCCATAACGGTCCAGAGATGGACTGAGTAAAATAGAAGTTGTGAGCTCGGGTGAAAAGGGGTGGGATAAGCTCACGTAAGATGTACTAGAAACTATATAATATGATATATCGAAAGGTGATTTCTCCGGGAACGTCGTTTTCTTCGCGATCCTAATATTTATAACATTCGAGTCAAGTCGAACAGAAATCTGGTTTGCTCTGTAATAAAAAGTTCTAATCACCCTGTTGGGTAATCGGATTTTACGTGACATAGGTAAATTATAGTGGAGGGAGTGAAGAATATGGTGCAGAAGGGATTTCTTCTCCGTAGTGCAAATGCGGTGACACAGTCACAAACAGTAGTTTGTCACTCTTCCTTTTTTCGGTCAGATTACATTGTGTGCTTGTACACCAGCCAGGTGCAAATTTTCAATGCAACTACGCTAGGACAGGAATCTCTATACTCTGAAGGGGTTCTAAACAACAGTGTGACGTCATGTAATGTAGTCTGGTACTAAAATTTACATTCCAGCTCCAGGTTGGTGAAGACAAATGGATAAGGAACGGGCATTTGCCAATTTCCATTTATCCAAAAGGTTACATGTCAAAAGTGTACAGTATCTAAGTGGTTGCCTAATTATGATTGAATCTTTAAAAAATGGACGAAAACAGGGTGGAGTACTGAGTTCTCTTTATCCACCATATCAACACAGAAAGAAGACATGGATCGAGATGTTAGCATTTTGTTTTATCTCCACAACTTAAAACAAACGGGCACTTATACAGGCATTGACCAAACTTGTGCAACACCCCGACTTTCATCACATTTGTTCCTCCCAACGCTTAGTGTTTCGGGCCCCATTACCCCACATCAAACGCGACATAGCCACGTATATTTGTACTCCCTATTGATCGAACGGCATTAAAACGTACGATGTGTCGACTTCGACAAAGGTTAATGGTGCACTAGTTATATGATAGCAAAACCTCAGTTAAAAGGGTAATTAGAATTCAGTTATAAAAAAGGGTCACAAACATGATACAGGTATTGTGATTCCATTTTGTCAATATTCTATTTGTCATTCTGTATTTTTGAGTACTGCGGGCAGTCGCTTTTGTATGGAGTTCACTGAGTTGGCTGTCAAACAGCATTTGCCAGTTTCCGCTAAGACATGTCGCACTCCGGTCACTGACAACCAGTTTCAAGGTAGATAACTTAACCCTGTTTCTAACAAAGGGAAAAGTTCTCCATTGCATTCAAATCTCCACTGCTGAGCGATAATTGAATGAATTCGACTTTGGGCTTGTGTTCACATCGAAGCGCTTGCACAAGTCTGGAACTGAGTCATTGGATTTCTGTGCCTTTGGGATTCAACTATAGGCCAACATTTTTCGAATCTTTTATCCGTTTTAGGTATGGTGACACTGAAAGACGCTTATTCAACGAGCTGCACGCCTCAAGGTAATTTTTGTCTTTCCTACCATAGATTTTTAGTTATTTCAGGATAAGGGCCAATACGTGAGTAGTTTGTACCCGCATAATTTGTCAATTTATTTAGGCTAGAAATTTTCCATTAATCGGTTTATTTACTGTGCACCGAATGAAAAGAGATAAGCTATTTGACCATAATATATCTCCTCATGTAACAGTAATCGTTTAGTAGAAAAGAATGAACTTCATTGCTGCTTTGCACAAAATATATTTTTCAATTCTGAGCTGTAACTTTAGAAATACTAATAACTGTATCGCGACACTCAAATTCCAACAGTGATACAAGGAAACTAAGAACATAGCAGTGGGAGATGAAGTTCAGAACAAATACTCTACACCCATAGCTATCGAAATACACGTACGATAGTAGCAACTGAAATGCTTTTTTCCAAAATGACAGGCGTGTTGCACGAATGCAATCAATACCTGTATAGCATATGAGGTTGTTCAATTGCGACCACATTTACAATGATGTGCGCCATAAGTTGAGGTCAGCTCTGGATCGTATAATCCCAGCTGCTCAACTTAGACTCCTTGCCTCCAATCGTGGAGTTGGTTTGGACAAACCTAAGCATGGCTGGAAAACCGGTTCCGTCTCACACACCGTAGTCCTGTTCACCTGCAGTTACGGTGACGCACACAGGCAGAACTAATCACCAGCTCTCACAACGGATGACCAAACATATTCCAAAGTGGTTGGTGAAATCGATGACGCAATCGGTGATTGATGACCAAGTGATCACAAGAAATCCAGGGTCATCTGTTGTAGAACATATCATGACAACAAGACACAGTTGACCCCGATTCGTCTTCCAAACCACTACTACGTACTCGTAATGCTAAACTTTTGATAGTTCGTGATACATTGCTTATTCGACTCCATCATCCAACCTTATGCGTATCAAAGGTTTCGATACACCATCCATTTACAGTGTAGTTGGTCTTTTAGTTCTATATTCAGTCATATTTGTGTGCTAGTACACCTTTGCATTCACTATGATTGAACAACCCCATGTGCTGCATATGTGCCTGTTTGTTTTACGACGGCGATTGAGAAGATCGAAAGGAAATGGTAACACCTCGCAACATTCTGTAGAATACCTTGAAGTTTATAGGTGCATATACCAATAAAGATCCGGCGTGGTCTTTACTCATCGACCATCTCTTTTGAAAAAAGTGGGTGATCTTTAAAATAACTCCCTTGGAATTTCATCACTCCTTTTGTTTTTGTTTTTCCGTTTTGCTATGTTTTCCCACCTTCCCATGTTCTGTGCAACGGCCTTGTCTGAGACAACAACGTTCACCTTTGCAGCACTTGATGTCCAATTCACAAACCAATCACCGTTATGTTGTTATTGTGAAACCATTATTTATCATCTGTCTGCTGGTCAATCTCTTTCTTGCAAGCTGTATGTGCATTTTTCCATGTCTTGTTTTTTCGGGTGTATTCGCCGACGGAGGAATTCGAGCGTGTGTGCGGTGAACGGAAAATCCGTTCATTGAAACCGACGTGATTTATTGTTTGTGTATTCAATGCACTACTCCACCCCACCCCGCCCGAGCGGTAGAGAGGTAGGGTACATTGTGTTAGATAACACCTTTGGGGGGCTGCGGTGAGGGGTACTGGATGTGTTATTACTCGCTTGATCAGATCCTAGTTCGCATGAGCTAATCGTTTGACCGAAATCTGTTCCTTTCTTGTGTCGAAACATGAAGCCGGATCCCAAGAGAGCCCGACAACAAGAACAACACGACCACGCCAACGATTTACAAGAAACAGCCAGACAACGACGCGTCCTCTCCAGCTCCGCAGCAGCGTTCGACACGTGCGGCGAATGGACCAAAGCTCACACAGCCCGATCAATCCAATCTGCGTATGATTCCCAGTCCCAAAGATGTCTCTGAAACACATGCACATGGAATTCGACATCCGTCACGTGATCTGGACTCACTCGAGACCACGGTGACCGATGCGATCAGTTTGCATTTGCGTGTGCAAGCTCTGGAAAAACAATTGCATATGGTTAGTGAATCTCCGACTAAGTAGCATTTACGTTATTGTAATGTTTGTGTGTGTATTTCTCACTTGTCTGGTTCATAATTATGTGCCAAGCAAACCGTTATACAACATCAGAATACAAAATAAACCAGACCATCATTCGCTCATAAGTAAAATAACGTGAGTGGACCCACATCACAACAAGTGTATGTCATTGGTAATAATCACAACCGGAGGTTTTGATTCGTCAAAGCCGACAATCACAGTCTATTGGGAGCCGCTATCTAACCCATCTTATCATTCGTAATTCCTACGTGATTCGCACGCAGAATGTCAGGATGCCCAATACATTCAATCGAGACGGGGGGAGGACCATTGCGATCAGAATATCCGGGAATTAGTTCCTACGTTTTTTCTTGATACTTTTGGAATCAGTTTTTCAGCTGCCCGAAAGATGACTCGTCAATCGGGTTATTGCTTTGTGGTGTGTGACTTGAATGAAAGCACTGAATACGAGGACTTCGGAACCAGATTTTTGAAGAAACACACACATGAGAGCAGATCTTGGAATCATTCATAGTAGTGGTCTTAACGGGACTAGGGTGGGCGGTGTACGATCAACACCAGCGTCTAAGTATAGCATCAGATAATAATTGCACTATCACCGGGAAATCGCTCTTATATTACACCAAAGCTATTCCACTGATCTTCTGCTCGAATGACCTGGTTGGTACCAGTTGTCTTCTTGTAGCATGTACTATGGTTTCAGTGTCTAATTCTTTTCAAAAAGTGAAGTCTGATGGCTCGCCTATTTGAATTAGCATCTCACGGTGCCGATGATCTGTCCGTTCAACGTCACCCGAGACGGATGAATGGCATCGCACATATGAATCGGAGTACAGGTGGTTAGAGTTGGTCCATTTCACTGAAAACCGGGACCTACATAAAAACAGCGTGACAAAAAAAATTTGCCTTCAGCAACTTCACTGCTGAATAGGTGTATCCTCGCTCTACATAAATGAAACTTCTTTGACGCAAATATATTCGTAACTAGATAACAGTCCTTCATGATAGAAAACGCTGGCCAACAAAACAAGAAAATTCCCTTACTTGTCCTAATCCACAATCGTACACAGCCAAATGTCTCTTCGTCTAGCCGAACCCGGGACAAAAAGAAAACTCGATTCGAGGCTGGCGCATGCGACCAGTTCGAGCAGTCTGATCCAGGGCGATCACTGCAGTTTGTGATCTGGCGGTGCCAAAACAGACATGAAGCGGACTGATTTTAAATATAACCGCGCAAGTGGCATCATCTCAGACTTGAAGTCATGTCTGATTGAAGAATAAATAATGGTTGGGTCAATAACGACCAAAGGCACTGGGGCAAATGGCCGATTCTCTGTATATGATGTATATAAGGTGGTTATCTATTCACTATCGATGCCATACCGGTGGATTTTGACTATTTTTGTTTATATGCAATCCGACAGACATCTCCCCAAGGTGTCCAGGGGCGTACTGATCCAATTCAATTCGGTAATGATTGTCAAAAGTCGGTTCTTCAGGAAATGCTCTCAATATATTTTCTCTAGTCCACCGGACACAAATCACATTTGGGAAGCGAATCATTGGCGTTTATATATAAACCTGAACCAATCAGATTGTTCGAGCCGGCAAATTTAAAGTCTTGTACGGACCAATCATAAAAATGCGATTGACGCAGTAAAACAAAACGACCAATTCAAACAACATTACAACACATTCTTCTTCTTTTGGAAGTTCTTCATTATGATCCTGATTGGTATATTCGTCCACTTCGTGTACGGGATGGAGATTGTG